GACCTGCCTCGCATGGGCCAGTAGGCCTTCTGCAGTGTTCCTTCGTTCTTATGTTCTTATGTTCTTCTTGTCTATTATAAATAACGCACCACTTAAACTTGCTTAAATTCAACCACGCTTTTCCAAAATATAAGGTAATAATATTTTTTGTGATTTAATTCATGTCTATATGAATAACTCATTACGACTGTAACCAGATAAAACTATGTAAATAGTTTATTACCACTGTACTTGTTGAGCTATCAAAACTTTCCGGCCGAGTCCCTGGACCCATAATGTGCCTCTATAATCTTTGGACTACTGCCCACAGGATGGGTATGGGAAACATAGAAGATATTACTTTTACTAATGAACTAATATATCCTTCCAATCCCTTTGATTATTTTAAATAAGGTCATATCTCTCAAATATGGGTGTAACTCTGTTTTTTTATATATTTTATTTAAAACATTACATCAAATATAAATATAGAAAAATCACACCTAATCTAATCACAGCAGTTATGATAACCATCTGTAACCTAAACAGACACCACCACACAACTGAAGGTGGAAACTGCCCCCCGCCCCACCCATGCACCTAATTTATACCTAACAGATTTAACAATTAAATATGAACAACATTCAGAAAGATTAAAGACAAATGTACAATAACAGGCCAGTTATCATGCCATCCACGGATGGGAAACATGCGGTCACAGACCGCTATCACAGCCCCAACAATTATTTTTTTGTTTGTTATATTTTATTTAGAACATTACAATACAGCAAAATATATAAATATAAAAATCACACATAATCTGACTCACAGCAGGTATGACAACCATCTGTAACTAAACACACACCACCGCACAACGGAGGGTGGAAAACTCCCCCCCCCCTTGTCGTTTTTTTATTTGCAGGTTGGCCGGTTCTCTCCCAGCCCGGATCTTTTCCTGATGGTGACCCAGCGATACTCAGCGTGTATAAGTTGTAAATTGGCTTTAATCCTTATTTTAGGAGTTAAAAAATCTTTAATTATACACACACACACACACACACACACACACACACACACACACACACACACACACACACATAACACACATATATATATATTATATATTATATATATATATATATTTTATATATATATATATATATATATATTTATATATATATATATATATATATATATATTAACAAGTCGGCCGTCCCCCACCGAGGCAGGGTGACCCAAAAAGAAAGAAAATCCCCAAAAAGAAAATACTTTCATCATTCAACTGTTTCACCTCACTCACACATAATCACTGTTTTTGCAGAGGTGCTCAGAACACAATAGCTTAGAAACATATACGTATAAAGATACACTACATATCCCTCCAAACCGTAAATATCCCGAACCTCTCCTTTAGAGTGAGGTATTGTACTTCCCATTTCCAGGACTCAAGTCCGGCTATATAAAAATAACCGGTTTTCCTGAATCCCTTCACTAAATATTACCCTGCTCACACTCCAACAGATCGTCAGGTCCCAAATACCATTCGTCTCCATTCACTCCTATCGAACACGCTCACGCACGCCTGCTGGAAGTCCAAGCCCTTCGTCCACAAAACCTCCCTTACCCCTTCCTTCCAACCTTTTCAAGGACGACCCCTACCCCGCCTTCCTTCCCCTACAGATTTATACGCTCTCCAAGTCATTCTAGTTTGATCCATTCTCTCTAAATGAACAAACCACCCCAACAACCCCTCTTCAGCCCTCTGACTAATACTTTTATTAACTCCACACCTCCTAATTTCCACACTCCGAATTTTCTGCATAATATTTACACCACACATTGCACTTAGACAGGACATCTCCACTGCCTCCAACCGCCTCCTCGCTGCAGCATTTACAACCCAAGCTTCACACCCATATAAGAGTGTTGGTACTACTGTACTTTCGTACATTCCCTTCTTTGCCTCCATAGATAATGTTTTATGTTTCCACATATACCTCAACGCACCACTCACCTTTTTTCCCTCATCAATTCTATGATTAACCTTATCCTTCATAAATCCATCCGCCGACAAGTCAACTCCCAAATATCTGAAAACATTCACTTCTTCCATACTCCTCCTCTCCAATTTGATATCCAGTTTTTCTTTATCTAAATCATTTGATACCCTCATCACCTTACTCTTTTCTATGTTCACTTTCAACTTATATATTTATATATATATATATATATATATATATATATATATATATATTTATATATATATTATTTTATTATTATCACACTGGCCGATTCCCACCAAGGCAGGGTGGCCCGAAAAAAGAAAAACTTTCACCATCATTCACTCCATCACTGTCTTGCCAGAAGGGTGCTTTACACTACAGTTTTTAAACTGCAACATTAACACCCCTCCTTCAGAGTGCAGGCACTGTACTTCCCATCTCCATATATAATATATAAATATATTTATATATATATATATATTTTATATATATATATATTAATATTTATATATATATATATATTTATAATATATATATATATACATATATATATATATAATATATATATATATATATTTATATATATATATATATATATACATACATATACATACATATATATATATATATATATATAATATATATATATATATATATATATTATATATATATATATATTCAAACAGCTCCGGGGAGAACCTTGAGTTTTCCCTGGGGTTTACGTTTATTGTCTTCTCTGAGGATGAGTGTCCCCATTCCAGCTATAGAGGTGGTACTTCCCTCTATATATATATATATATATATAATTTCATATACATACATTTCATACATATATTTTATATACATATACATACATACATACATATATTTTATATATATATATATTTATATATTTATATATATATATATATATGTATATATTTATATATATATATATATATATATATTTATATATATATATATATATATATATATATATTATATATATATATATATATATGTATGTGTTTATATAATATATATTATTATATATATATATATATATATATATATATATTATATATATTATATATATATATATATATATATATATATATTCCAACCTGGAGTATAGCTGAAGAGGGTTTTGGGGGTCAACGGTCCTGCGGCCTGGTCTACGGTTGATTGTAACGTTTGATACCTGGTTACTGATATGATCATATGGTTCATGGCCTGGTCATACCATCACCCTCCTACATCTCCAAAAAACTTACTTCACCTTCCCGTACGAATCAGGGGCACTGACGAGAATAAGAGGGATAATCTCCGAACAATTCAGACAGCGTGGTGGAGATTGCTGGCAGGAGGGATCATTATGATTTACGTCGTTGTAGATGGTACACTCTGGGGACTTTGATGGATGTACAAAGCGCCAGCAGTTTTAATAATGTTTCGGGGTTAGTGATACAACTAGGTAGGTGAGTACAGGTAGGTAGTAAGTCTGGAGCGATTAGGCAGCAGAGGATCAAGATTTCTTCGCTTCTACTGAATGGGTTACATGACTTTAGATCCACATAAGTTTAATAATAATATTCCGCAACGATCAGCTATAATAACTAAAAACCCGACTGGCCACAGACCGGACAGACCCACAACCAGTCAGGATGGAAAAGCTACGCTGCACCATTGCTTTGTCTGAATAACACGTGGGCTTTGGTGCGTTACTAAATATACCATTAATAATAATGTGGAAAATACTGTATATATTTTCCAGAAATACGGTAATTTATAGATAAATAGATGCCCTATATTGTATTTTTAAAAGAAATATGTTATCGAAAATGGGATACCTGCGGCTGGGGAGGTCAGTCGCCATTTTGTTTGAATTTGGACTAGAAGCGTTAGTGTAATGGGGAGAATTTTTCGTGCTCTAGAGGTCAAAATTGGGTTGACACCTCTCAAATAGGAGACGAAATTGTTGGATGTGCATTCTTGCATAACTTGAGATATCAGGCGACAGGACAGGACAACTCCAGGAACCTCAGATAAGCTGTCTAATTTATGTTTAATTTCTGGCCAGTAATATTTTCAATAATGTAGGCAAAAGGGGGGGTCCTGTACATGACACATTAATCTCCAGTCAAATTGGTGAGTGATATTAAGATATATTTTCCTTCTGTTATGTAATTGTGTATATATATAACCATTTATTATTTTTAATATACAGTCCACAAAATTTATATATTTGCCAGTATTCCTGGTTATACATATTTCATTGGTAATTAATAGGTCCAGAGCAACTTGTGGATATGACAGTTGTAGGTTTCGAAGGGGGACATTTTTGCGACTTAGGTGTCCCAAATTCCTACTTGTCTATGTAACATTGATAAATAATAATTATCTTTGTTATTTACTGTTATGTACATAATGAGTTACATACAGATAAATGTAATTTTCCACAAATAATCTATATTTCTACAAGTACATGATACAACATATACAGACTTAGCTGACATAAGTGACATACTATATAAAAAGCCCCTGTTTATACAGATCATTTAGGGCAAAATAGCTCAATTTTGTCCCCAGGATGCGACCCACACCAGTCGGATAACACCTAGCTGTCTTAAGGAAACATGCTCTCAATGTTATCACCCGTACCGGGGATCGAACCACAGAGTTCAATGTGTGAACTGCGTGAGCTACCAACCGAGCTACGGAGCTCATGAAAATCACAGAAAGTAAACTTGGAAGAAAATACAAATATTTGGCAAAGGCACTTAATTGTGAATTTAGGGTGATAACGTATTAAAAAAAATGAAAATATATCACAAGTATTTAGAAACATGATTTTCAGCGAACTGCCTCCTATTGTGCAGCTAATTTTGCTAAAACTGTTGACGTAGACATCCCGAGATATTAACTCAGGCACGCCAGTGGCTCGTGCAAGAAAATTCCACAAGATTTTGTTGTTATATAATACCTAACAGTACAAGGCAAGTCAACATACTTGAATGAGGGAAGGCTACACTTTCTTACTCTCAGTAATGACGGGCTTCCGTGTTGTACATCTGCCAAAATCTCCCAGCAAACGTTCAGTCCACGCTTCAGCAGAAAAATTGGCCAATAATGCTGACCGAAACGTAGATCCAGTTCGCTGGGGTCTGTCTGGATACTAATAGGTATCCTCGGTGTTTGAGGAAGCTTCGTTATTCTAGTAGTTCCTCTACCCATGTAAGTTATGCCGGTTTCCTGGCTACTCAATTAACATGTCAAGTCTCGTTGACTTGTGATTCGTAACTAAACAGTTAGCCTCTCCTCGCTGATATAGTTCGAATTTACAACGCTGGCTATTTAACGAATACGACTATATTAGACCTATTCTTACCTATTTTAGGTCCTAAACTGTATTAATAATTCCTACGGTTATTTTCTACTTGGTGTAACTATATAAATCTTCCTAGGACAAATATTATGTACAAATATTATGTAAGTGGGTATATTAAGGGCTCTTAAAGCTCAAACTATAAAACGTTTCGGGAATATTTTGGTAGCCAAAAATAATTTCCACAGATACAAACCCCAATCTGTTCAATATAAAAAAAATAAATATAAAGGCACCTTTCTGTCTCTTCTTTAGAGCACACACGGGCAAACAATTAACCACAGCTTCCTATAATTTTCTGAGGACCATATTGAAATAAGTATGAAGAGTGCCTAAATTACAAATACTAAAACACAAGGCGTATACACCGACAAGTGTGTATTTCTGTCATCAATCAACCCTTACGGGTTCAGCGTTTAATTCCATTATAATAATAATAATAGCCAGTCATCAATCAGGGTATATACGAATAAAAACATGTGCAGCATTTGGGTACCTTTATTGCCGAAACGTTTGGCGTGTACAACAGTCTTCTTTGGGCGAATGAAACACTAGAGACAGTATACGTAGTGTGAACGTGATCAGTCTGTCAGCCTTGATAGACGTGGTTAGTTCCTCAGGTCAGAAATCCAAGCGTTGCACATGTCTTAATTTTTCAACTTTTTGCTGTTGTACACCATCAATAATATGATACTGGTATATGCACTGAGGGTATACATAATTAATTAAGATTTATATCTAGTGATTAAAGTATTCGTGATGTTACTTTACATCACTCACTTTTGTTTTCTGTATGTTATAATTTTGATAAACTGAGGGACTGATTACCTCCTCTTCTACAGTCTTCCGTTTATTTCCTTGCACTGTATTGATAAAGTAAATGGTTGGCGAAACGTCTACAATATAAAAATATCCAGATGTTGTACATGTATCTGATTCATCAACTTGCCGGTATGGTTCTTGTGTATATCACTGATGTAATGACACTGTGTTCTGGTTTGGAAGCATCATTGAAAGCGATGACAGACACAGTGGTTCAGAAAACAGGAAGTTATAACATCACTTCCATCCTGACCCACATGATTCTGGATCGTGTTTCGCCCCGCCCAGCTCGAGAGACAACCATCACGTGACCTCTGACCACCACTCACTGTAGCTCCTCACTTGACGTCATCACTTGTATATTTGCTTATACATACCTGTTTTCTACTCCATATATAACAGGAGTGGTCAAGATCCTTAGACCCAAATGTTTCCTCAATAAAAGCGTCCTCAGTGTTGACCTGTGTCTTATCGTCAACTTAACAACTTTTAACCAAGAACTCAGTGGAGCTCTTGGTTAAAACAAATTAAGACCCACGCCTGAAAATACTACTATCATCAGTTGTTTAGAGAGCACGTTAATATAAATGTTGTCAAAGATGGCACCTTTCAACAGCAGAAATGTGCAAAACCAGAACATTCGTGTTGTCTTCTTTAGAATATTGATGTTCTCACAAATTTTTTCAAGGCAGGTGATATACTTGAACTACAAACCTATACTTTATTATTTTATTATTTACTGCCCGAAAATAATAAATTGAATATCTTGACTAATGGGAGTGCTATATTATTTATGGGAAATAAAACTACTTTCCCTTCGATTAATGTGAATTAATTATACTCTGTCCTAAAGGAACTTATATAAAGCTAGCCTGCAAAAGACTATGTCTTGGTCTGGACATATTCCCTCTTTTGAAGTTGGACTTACAGTTAATTAATATGTGGGGTGCAGCTTCTCTGTTGTATTAAATTAATAACATCAAAGTTGCTCAAGAGAGCTTAAACTGTAATCGAAGAACCCATTAATTCAATTTTACTAGTGATCAGTAGATCTTTGATAATCTAATGTCTTATTATATACTAAACATATACACTAATACCACCATAATTGTTACAAAAGGTATGCATATAGGTTGAAAACAAGATACATGTCTCATTGCTCACCTCCAGTTGGCGGTATTCTGCCTAGAAGATTACTTCCCTGGTTCCCTCATTTTACCTATTTCCAGCAAGGCCTCACTAGTCAGATACCTGACAATACAGAGGGATACTTTCGTAGGGAATACATTAAATTGAAGATGAAGATGTGAGACCAATACGGCAATAATTACATCATTTCCCATTCTATTATAAACATAGTTTAGGTTAGTTTAATATGTTTATTATGCACCCCATACCCATCCTGTGGGCGGTAGTCAAAAGATTACAGAGGTACATAATTGGTCCAGGGACTGGACTCGAAAGTTTTGATAGCTGAGCAAGTTACAGAGGTAATGAACTCTATAAACATATGAAAGGTTTTTATACATGTTGATACTCATATATTATTGACGTATGTTCTTAAATTATATAAGAGTAAATAGATTAATTATCTTATATAATTTAAGAAATAATGAATGTTTCTCTGAGTACACTTTAATAAGTTGTTAAAGAAAATATGAAAAAAAAATATTAAATATTTTCACAATTTAACAGCTTTTTCTGCCCTCATTCCCATCATGTGGGCAAAGTTATGAGAGAGAGAGAGATAGAGAAGCAGTGAGGTGCAGGGGTGGGGTACTGAAGGTGAGGTGCAGGGGTGGGGTACTGAAGGTGAGGTGCAGGGGTGGGGGTACTGAAGATGAGGTGCAGGGGGGGGTACTGAAGGTGAGGTGCAGGGGTGGGGTACTGAAGGTGAGGTGCAGGGGTGGGGTACTGAAGGTGAGGTGCAGGGGTGGGGTACTGAAGGTGAGGTGCAGGGGTGGGGTACTGAAGGTGAGGTGCAGGGGTGGGGTACTGAAGGTGAGGTGCAGGGGTGGGGTACTGAAGGTGAGGTGCAGGGGTGGGGTACTGAAGATGAGGTGCAGGGGGTGGGGTACTGAAGGTGAGGTGCAGGGGTGGGGTACTGAAGGTGAGGTGCAGGGATGGGGTACTGAAGGTGAGGTGCAGGGGTGGGGTACTGAAGGTGAGGTGCAGGGGTGGGTACTGAAGGTGAGGTGCAGGGGTGGGGCTACTGAAGGTGAGGTGCAGGGGTGGAGTACTGAAGATGAGGTGCAGGGGTGGGGTACTGAAGGTGAGGTGCAGGGGTGGGGTACTGAAGGTGAGGTGCAGGGGTGGGGTACTGAAGGTGAGGTGCAGGGGTGGGGTACTGAAGGTGAGGTGCAGGGGTGGGGTACTGAAGGTGAGGTGCAGGGGTGGGGTACTGAAGGTGAGGTGCAGGGGTGGGGTATGAAGGTGAGGTGCAGGGGTGGGGTACTGAAGGTGGTGCAGGTGGGGGTACTGAAGTGAGGTGCAGGGGTGGGGTACTGAAGGTGAGGTGCAGGGGTGGGGGTACTGAAGGTGAGGTGCAGGGGTGGGGGTACTGAAGGTGAGGTGCAGGGGTGGGGTACTGAAGGTGAGGTGCAGGGGTGGGGGTACTTAAGATGAGGTGCAGGGGTGGGGTACTGAAGGTGAGGTGCAGGGATGGGGTACTGAAGGGTGAGGTGCAAGGATTGGGGTACTGAAGGTGAGGTGCAGGGATGGGGTACTGAAGGTGAGGTGCAGGGGTGGGGTTACTGAAGGTGAGGTGCAGGGGTGGGGTACTGAAGGTGAGGTGCAGGGGTGGGGTACTGAAGGTGAGGTGCAGGGGTGGGGTACTGAAGGTGAGGTGCAGGGGGTGGGGTACTGAAGGTGAGGTGCAGGGGTGGGGGTACTGAAGGTGAGGTGCAGGGGTGGGGTACTGAAGGTGAGGTGCAGGGGTGGGGTACTTAAGATGAGGTGCAGGGGTGGGGTACTGAAGGTGAGGTGCAGGGATGGGGTACTGAAGGTGAGGTGCAAGGATGGGGTACTGAAGGTGAGGTGCAGGGATGGGGTACTGAAGGTGAGGTGCAGGGGTGGGGTACTGAAGGTGAGGTGCAGGGGTGGGGTACAGAAGGTGAGGTGCAGGGGTGGGGTACTGAAGGTGAGGTGCAGGGGTGGGGTACTTAAGATGAGGTGCAGGGGTGGGGTACTGAAGGTGAGGTGCAGGGGTGGGGTACTGAAGGTGAGGTGCAGGGGTGGGGGTACTGAAGGTGAGGTGCAGGGGTGGGGTACTGAAGGTGAGGTGCAGGGGTGGGGTACTTAAGATGAGGTGCAGGGGTGGGGTACTGAAGGTGAGGTGCAGGGGTGGGGTACTGAAGATGAGGTGCAGGGGTGGGGTACTGAAGGTGAGGTGCAGGGGTGGGGTACTTAAGATGAGGTGCAGGGGTGGGGTACTGAAGGTGAGGTGCAGGGGTGGGGTACTGAAGGTGAGGTGCAGGGGTGGGGGTACTGAAGGTGAGGTACAGGGGTGGGGTACTGAAGGTGAGGGGTGCAGGGGTGGGGGGGTACTGAAGGTGAGGTGCAGGGGTGGGGTACTGAAGGTGAGGTGCAGGGGTGGGGTACTGAAGATGAGGTGCAGGGGTGGGGTACTGAAGGTGAGGTGCAGGGGTGGGGTACTGAAGGTGAGGTGCAGGGGTGGGGTACTGAAGGTGAGGTGCAGGGGTGGGGTACTGAAGGTGAGGTTGCAGGGGTGGGGTACTGAAGGTGAGGTGCAGGAGGGGGTGGGGTACTGAAGGTGAGGTGCAGGGGTGGTGGGGTACTGAAGATGAGGTGCAGGGTGGGGTACTGAAGATGAGGTGCAGGGGTGGGGTACTGAAGGTGAGGTGCAGGGGAGGGGTACTGAAGGTGAGGTGCAGGGGTGGGGTACTGAAGGTGAGGTGCAGGGGTGGGGTACTGAAGGTGAGGTGCAGGGGTGGGGTACTGAAGGTGAGGTGCAGGGGTGGGGTACTGAAGGTGAGGTGCAGGGGTGGGGTACTGAAGATGAGGTGCAGGGGTGGGGTACTGA